GTGCCAGGAAAACATACTTGTTTTCCTGGCACTATAGTGCCCTGAGGGTGCCCTCACCCTCAGGGTCCCCCTCCCGCCTGGCTCTGGAAGTGGAAAGGGGTAAAACTTACCTTTTCCAGCGCTTCGGGCTGGGAGTAGCCTTCCTCCTCCGGACCTTCCCTCTTTCTCCTCCCCCGTCGGCTGTAGCGCGCATCGCCATGCGCATGCGCTGCATTCAGCCGTGGGTCACATACAGGAAAGCATTCATAATGCTTTCCTATGGACGCCATGCGCCCCAAAACCCAGTAAGAAGCTATCGTTAGTTTTAGCCGCCGCTTATAAAAGTCAGCCGCCAGAGGAAGGCTTAACTCATCGAGGAACATAGCAGCTCTCTGAAACTGCTATGTTTATGAAAATGGGCAACGTAGTTGATCTGGCACCCAGACCACCTCATTGCTGAAGACCGGGGTGTCTGTAGTGGTCCTTGGGCGTGTGTGTGCATCTGCATGCACTGGCGTACATACCGCGGTCGCAGGGGTCGCAGCCCTGTAACCCCTGCGACCAGGTGCCCACCGCCATGTGTTGCGGCCCGGCCCGCGCGCCGGGGGGGGCCCACGGATCAATTTTCGCACCGGGACCCCATGGGTCATGTGTACGCCACTGCCTTTAACGCTCTACTTTGCCACCTCACAAACTATTCTTTCAGCTGATAGCTTTGCATGTTACTTTACCGACAAGATTAAATAATTAAGGAATTGATTCTCCCACTTCTCTCCAGCTACTAAACTTCTCCTTTCCTCTTGCCCGCTCGATCCTGTCCCATCTCACCTCATCAGCTCTCTCCCCTTGTCTTGTGCCATCCTTAACGCACATCTTCAACTGCTCTCTTTCTTCTGGTGTTGTCCCTGCTCCCCTTGAACACGCTACTGTTGTACTTGTTTTAAAAAAGCCATCTCTTGACCCAGCTTCCCCTTCCAACTATAGTCCATATCCCTTTTCCCTCTTTCCTCAAAGCTTCTGGAATGACTTTTAGTGGCAGCAGGGATAGCTTAACGTTTTGATATAAGATTTGTTTGGCTGGGCCTGAAAATAAGGGAGTGGTGGCAGTTTAGAAATCATGTCCTGATTTTTCAGCTTTTGTCAGCTCCCACTCTAGTTTTGAACATTTTGCTATTCATTCCTATGGGACCAATTTTGCCACAAAATATAGTTTTCACAATATGACCATTTGTTTGCAACCAACGCCGTCCATTGACATTCATTGAAACTTCACTCTGCAAAGCTCAAATTTGAAGTGCAATTTCTAAACTGCGACTGTGCCTTCAATTTTAATACTTCAGAGACTTACTATGCATCAAAATGTAGGTCTGGGTCTTGTGATTCTCACAATATAAAGCTCTTCACTGTAGGGAGTTATAGTTTTCTAAGATACCACTGCCTGAAGATGGCAACCACCAAAATACTCTGACTCAGCCAGGGCTGCAGCAGTTAAAAGTGATGTCATAGACAGGCCTTTGAACAATCTTGCTAATGTTTTTATAAAATGTATTGGTTTAACCTCTTAAGGACGGAGAGCTTTTCAAATGTGGCTAATGCTTGTGAACAAAACAAAACAAAACAAACTCCTGGCATTTGGCGCTTACATGTCTGTCCAACCGTAATTCACCTCTTTCATAGTAAATGCACCCAACCTTATTATATATCATTTTATTCAGGGGAAACGGGGCTTTCATTTAATATCAAATATTTAGCTATGAAACATAATTTAATATGAAAAAAATGGGAGAAAATACGATTTTTTTGATTTTTTTAGTTCTAAATTGCATTTAAAAGGTCAGTGTCATAATACTGTTTGATTTTACTGCAATAAAATACACATATTTGTATTTAGTAAAGTCTCACGTGTAAGACAGTACCCCCTATGTACAGGTTTTATGGCGTTTTTGGAAGTTACAGGGTCAAATATAGTACCGTGCTATATTTTTCAGTTGCTCTTTTGAGATTGTATAGCCCGGAATTATAATGGTATGTTGGTTCATTTGTAATAGAAGACAAATCCTGTTGTGTTGTATGTCCAGTCTTTTTTAGTAGCCATTTGGTCACAAACACTGGCCAAAGTTAGCGTTAGTATTTGATTGTGTGTGAAAAATGCAAAAAACGCCAATTTTGGCCAGTGTTTGTGACTAAGTGGCTACTAAAAAAGACTGGACATACCCTGTTTGCAATACCTTGGGTTGTCTACTATTGCAAATGGTATGCCATCATAGGGGTAATTTTCATTCTTGGGCTACCATAGGGTCTCAAAGGCAACGTAACCAATCTGGCAAATTTTAAGGTGAAAAAAATGAAACGCAAGCCTTATATTTGACGCTGTAACTTTTGAAAATACCATAAAACCTGTACATGAGGGGTACTGTTGTACTCGGGAGACTTCGCTGAACACAGTAAAGGAGTTTAAGCATGCATGGGATAGGCATAAGGCTATCCTAACTATAAGATAAGGCTAGGGACTAATGAAAGTTTTTAGAAAATTGGGCAGACTAGATGGACCGAATGGTTCTTATCTGCCGTCACATTCTATGTTTCTATGTTTCTATGTTTCTAACACAAATATTTTTGTTTCAAAACTGTAAAAAGTATCACAGCAATAATATTGTCCGTGTAATGCTGTTTGTGCGTGAAAAATGCAAAAAACTTCACTTTTACTGGCGATATCATCGTTGTAATACATTTTACTGTTTTGAAACACTAATATTTGTGTTCAGCGAAGTCTCCCGAGTAGAACAGTACCCCCCATGTACGGGTTTTATGAATTGTCTCAGAAGTTGCCGGGTTAAATATAGTGCTGTAATTAAATTCCCTTTACTTTTTCGGCATGGAGTTTATCAGGCAGGTCCTGCTAATTGTAGTGAGTAAGATACCACAATTATGTAAAAACATTACATAAATATATATATATATATCTATATAATTTTTAAAAATATTTTTTATTTATATATAGGTATATATATAGTGATATATACATTATATATTTAGCATATATAGATATATATATTATTTAAGTTCTCGTGTATTTTTGATATATATATATATATATATATATTAATTTCACAATACAGTTAGAGCGAGAAATAACACATCTAAATATTTTTAATTATTTATTTTTAATTATTTTTTAATTTAATTTTTTTTTTTTTGAAATTTGTAGTTTATTGGTTTTCCACACAAGTGTAAATGGCGGGGAAGGGAGAGGTACAGAAAAAAGAAGGAGGAGGGATGGAGGGAGGGGGGGAACAGTCACGATACCATGAGTCACATGTTGAGCGATGGGTATGCCTTTACATTGTTTACACAGTTACAGTTCTTACGCAGTTACATTGCTTACAGTTGCGTACGTTAGTTCGTTTTTACACAATAGTTACATCAGTCACACAATAGTTACACAATTTACACAATAGTTACACAGTAGTTACACAATAGTCGGGGCCTCTCTATGGTAGTCACCCAGCTAGCCACTATTCCAGCCACGATGTATGCTATTCTGTCTGTCTCTTAGTTCCTCACTGCCTGACTGTCCTAGTCCTGCGGTTTGCTCTTGGGTCGCTACAGCGTCCTACTATACTAGGCGTTGGGGTTAGCCGTTCTCCAGGTGCGCCATTGGTCCCAAGCCCCTCCAAGGCGGCCTGAGCCAGAACGTGTCCCGGAAAAACTGGTTTCATAGATTGCCTGGTTATCTATATCCTGAATAAGGTTTGGGATATGGGGGGCCTCATTTGTTTTCCAGGATCTAGCTATTAGTTTTTGTGCGGTCAGCAGTATATGGTATATTAGTTTCCTCGACTGTTTGGGTACTTCCCTAGGGACGTCCAATAGCAAAAAGGGCCTGGGTTCAAAAGGTATTTTGATTTTTGTGGTGTCAGCAATGAGTTTTTGGACATCTCCCCAGTACCTAATTAATCGTGGGCAACGCCACTGTTATGGGCAAATGCAAATATTACAAGTTTTAGAATGAAGTGTTGTATTTCTTAAACTGTGTACTTTGTCTTTAAGAGATATTGCAAACTGACAAGGTGTTAGAAATGGAACATATTGTTTTTCATAACTGTTTCTTTAAGCAATAACCACAGTGCATAATATGTTTGCGCCATTTTGTCCCAGACGAATTACAATAACAATAATGCATAAACAAGCTTCAAGGCTATGCTACGACACTTGCAGTACACAATATACTGTGGTAACCCCAAGTTAATGGAACTTCCCCAAATCCAGGAATCTCCCGCGACTGTACACTTACGACTTAGTATAAACAACAGATAACCTATTCAGACTTTAAGATGCCATCTTGAATTAAGTCAGGAAAATTTCCATGACGTATACACCCTTTAGTTATGGCCTTGTATGTTTGCCAAATTAAGGGAGGTCCTAAATTGAATAAAGTAAAAAGTGTTACTTTTTCATATTTGAACTACAGTAACCTAAAATGGAGACACCTAAGGTATAAATAGGTGCACTTTTAAATGTTAAGACACAGAGGAGAGACTTGGAGACAGACGCTGCTCCATCTTAAAATGACAGAGAGGCTGACATGATGACATGTTCAGAAGGGTATGTTAACCTATTAATGATATTTGCAAGCATGTAATTTAATCTTTTAAACTCTGCTATAATGGATTTTATATTTTTATATAATAAATATCCAAAAGACAATCTTGCTTCCAAGACAATCCTTATTTTATATTGTATTCTCAATTATTTATATATGTTAAATAGAGGATCTCTTACCCTATATAAAATTATGGCTAAGATATCTGTATGGTTAGCCCTACTAAGTTCTATGCTTTAAGATATTATAGTGGTAAATAAGGG